CATGACGGACACGTGAACCGATCGAAGGCTGACATTCGAAGCAGACAACAATCAATCGTCATTCAGATCTGGCATTGGTTTTCGAGAATCCGCGAATCAGCACTAAATGGCTGCACTGAAGATGTTACCTAGTTTGGTAACGAAACGTCTGCAACAGAAATGCCCAACTCGGAGAACAGGACAATCCTTTCAAATTCAATTGTCGCACAAGCACTTTATTCTTGCATGGCGCTGGCTGTGTTAGACTGGTCGCGATGGATTCAGCCGTCTGCGCAAGCGTTTCCTTAACCCATTCGGGTATGGCCTTGGTACACCACAATAGATCTTGAAGACATCTTTGTTCAAAATCTGATGCCCACTTTGAAGCAAATGTACCAAGATTGTACTGTCGATACTTCTGAACGTGCCTCTCTGCAGTGACTCTGGACGGTGTTCCGCCATCCTTACCGACAGAAGCCTGGTCGTATGCCTGTGATGCTTTGCGCTACAGGTACGATTCAGGCGGCATCGGCAGTTTTTCTGGCAGTTTGTTGTCAGTTCTATTCATTAGAACTATACCAGAACCTTTATCCGGCTTAGAGATAATTAACTCTTTGTTTAACCATAACTCTCTAAGTGACTGCATATGTTCGCTTGTAAGAAAACCCCTACTGACTGGTCTAGCCTTAATGTAATCATGACAGGTGTTTACTAAACTAGATAACGTGTTCTCAACGTCCCCTTGCGAATTTGATGACAGGGAGCGCGCCTGCGCTATTACGCTGTCAAATGGCACCTCTAATGCAGCCTGATCAACTTTTTTTTACAAGGGATGCAAAACTTAGAGCCTAATGACAACACGTTTAGTTGTGTTGGGCTAAGCACCACACTAGAAAGGTTAAACACGTACCGCTCCGGGTGACCCGGAAAGTTCAGTTGCTGCACTTGGCTATTTAGCGAGCTAAGCAACTTCTTTCTTTTCTGTGCACCCCTTTGCTTTTTAACCTGTTCTACGTATGCTTCAAAAGGTTTTCGTAATTCTTCCGATAAGCCCATGACGGTATGCATTCGTCGTGAGATAAATCTTTCCAGCTCCGATAATTTCGTGCGAACGTTATCCATATAGTTGAGAGGGTGCCGCCTCAAATTGCGCACATTAGGGTACAGATTACTTCGGTGTATATCTTTCCAAAAGTGTTTTGGATACCGGCATGACTGTAAGCACTCATTGAAGAATTTCAATTCAACCTCAGCCTCTTCATACCGATCACTGAACTTCAGATACTCATCCAAAAGCTTGACTGAATCACGGGGAATGCTGATGCTCAGCAATCCAAAAATTCCCATTTATTAGAATGAATCAAGGGAGGCAGAATCTGAGTAAAGAATTCTTTTCGGTAATTCTCATCGGACTCAAACATTACATGATGAGGAGAAAGTGCTAAATGTGCCGGATTGGGCTACGTATTGAACAGAATGTTTAATTTCACGGGTACAAATCAATAAATCATGGGGTCATTGGAAAGTCAGGTCAGGTCAGGTCAAACGGACGATAGAGGCTTCCGCCTAACGCGCGTCCAGTTCTTGTGCCGGTAAGTGAAGCGTCCCCTGGCGCTTCGACGTTGGATTGTCTCTTCTTGCTTCTGCAATGGAATGAAGCAAGAACAAGAGCAATCTTTGTACTTTCATATGTCAGCATCAAAATACACCAGGACAACTACAATATCTCTAGAAATAGGATGAACCAACAATCGTCTAAGCCTCTTTTGAAGGCTTCTACGGTCTCAGACTCCACTAAATCAGAAGTAAGTTTATTCCAGAAGTTAACTACTCGGTTTGTAAAAAACTTTGCGCTGATGTCCAAACGAGCTCTATGATGTTTGAGCTTCAGGTGATGCCCGCGCAGATGGTCTGACATAGCCAACTCAAACAGATGGGTGGAACTAATACCACTAAGTCCCTTAATGATCTTAAACGTCTCTATCAAATCCCCTCTCATCCTACGCCGTTCCAAGGAAAATAATCCTAAGCTACTTAGACGATCTTCGTAAGACTTCCCTCCTTGACCTTCAACCATCCTGGTCGCAAGTTTCTGAATCTTTTCTATACAAATGATGTCACTCCGGAGGTACAGTGACCAGGCCTGAACACAATACTCCAGATGTGGCCTAACCATTGCTTTATATAACGGCAAGAATACTTCTGCTTTAGTGTTACTCAGCGCCCTCCTAAGACGAAATAACTCGTGTCGCGCTGTATTGGCAGCATGGCGACACTGTGCCGAAGGCTTGAAATTGTTCGCTAAGATGACAGCTAGATCACGGGCTTGGTCAGTACACCGCAATGACAGAGATCCCACAGGAGACTGAACTGCAATTCCGCTACCACTACTAGTCAGTAGTTAACATTTATTGGCATTTAGAGGTAGATCCCATTGGCTTGACCAATTCACCACAGTGATGATGTCCTTAGCCAATGTCGCTCGGTTTCCCCTACTGACTAGCTTCAAATCATCTGCAAAGATGTAGCAGGGATCCTCAAGAAGAGGAGCCAGGTCATTTACAAACATAAGAAACAGCAATGGACCCAGTACTGAACCTTGGGGGACACCGCTGTAGGCATGGCCAACGCTAGAACTCGCTTCCCCAACCCTGACTCTGAATGTCCTTCCACGTAAGAATTCAGAGAACCATAGTAATAGTTGGTGATGCAATCCAAACCATGTCAGCTTCTTAGTTAAAATCGATGATTCACTGAGTCAAATGCTTTACTGAAGTCCAAATAGCACACCTCTACCGATATCCCAAGCACAATAAATTGGTAAGACAAGACTTCTTTTTAAGAAAGCCATGATGTTCCGCTCTAATTAGATTGTGCTCAGTCAAGTGCTCACATCCTGTACCTTATAAGCTTTTCCAAGCATTTTAGCATGATGCTGGTCAAACTAACAGGTCTATAATTAAGAGGCACCGAATTAGAACCCCTCTTGTTGATGGCAACAATAGTCGCCTCCTTCCAATCACGTGGCAGCTTGCCCTCTTGAAGAGACTGGTTGAATAACTCCGCTACGGGATACTGAAGGATATCAGCCAGAGGCTTAACTATGGCGGGATGTACGCTATCGGGACCAGCTGATTTATAAGGGTTCAAACTGGCCAGCACTGTGAAGACCTCTGACACATTGAGATTAATTTCCCGCATTGTGTAGCTAGTTGAGCAGTGCGGCTGTGATGGCCAGGCTGACCCACTATCCTTCCGATGCAGGTTTTGGTAGACACGTAGCAGCGCTTCTACTTTATCAACGTCGTCTACAGCCTGGGTACCGTGCTCCATGGTTAGACAGCCGACCACCTCTCATAAAGAAGCCTTTGACTGGACATAAGTGGCAAGTATGTACAAGGGAAATCACAGCCGAAGTTGCAGGCCACGATAGAAGTAAAGGACGTACAAAATGTTTTCGTACACACAATTCTGGCTTGAGGTGGCGGATACCCGAATGGGTTAAGGAAACGCCTCTTGCAGACCGCTGAAGCCATCGCGACCAGGCTAACACAGCCAGAGCTATGCAAACATAGGGTGCTTGTGCGACCCTTGATTTTGCCATCGCCCTGATGAGAGTCGTGCCCCCAGAGTATTATGCATAACCGGGTGCTATTTATTTATGTAATTATCTGTTTTTATTTTCTTGCTGATTTTACCTCTTCTGTTTACACAAGTTGTTTCGCTATCTGTTATCCCTGTCACGACGTCACCTTATTAAATCGATTTAAGCATCGAACAAACGTACTAAATCTGTTTAAACCGTCTTACCCGTCCTCATTTTACCATCATTTTGCTGTTACATTTATCAGTATTGTAGCTGTATGTGCCTGGCGTGAACTACTAGAATTCTACGTTTTACCTTTCGATGAGCAGTATCTACGGATGAGAAAACTTAAACGACTACTGCCCATGTGCTTAACGTTTCTGAGATGCTCCTTCGCTCCCAAATATTTTTAACTCCTTTATGGACGGGTCGAGCCTAGAACTTTGGAGTCAACTTCACGTATTTTTTACATAACACTTTGTGCCTTATCGGTTGCGTTAAAATAGTTTTAGTACGTTGAATCCGTCATCCAATAAATGGTAATGACGTGCAGTTTACTGTCAGCTTGCTCCGAGATCATGAGAACTGGCACCATTCATATCGTTTTGTTTACTTTTTGTCCACTGCTGCTTGCATATAATTTGTTACATGCACGTCTCATTAGTGGGCAGGAACGATTGGAGCACTACTTTCTTCTATACTAGTTAATAGTTAGTTAATTTATCTGATCGGATTTTGAGAGAAGGTAGGTGCAGCTGACAGGAGCATTTTTGTTTAGCAACATGTCAGTTCTCGTTGGCCGTTGCTAATGATGTCTAAAAATGAGCCGTTTCGATCAAGCATGTATGTACACGTAGGAATAGCGTATGCTTTGGATTCTCCTTTATGTGTAAATGATGCTCTAAATTACTGTTACATCACAAGTAGTATATTCAACTGATTGATGAAGTTAGATTTGATGGACCAGACAAATACGGTTCGTTTATTCTATATAGTTTAAATTCGTCCAGTTTGTTGTGCTTAGGTACATAGCTACATGGGAATTTATCTGATACACTCCATGACGGTTTGTACAATGTTTAAAAGAAGTAATACGGTTCTTCGCCGAGTAAACGTCGACAGTCAGACTAGCCAACTGATTTGTAAGTACAATTTTCTGAAATCCGGTCATTTTTCTTATGCAACAATATGTTATTTTATTTTGTGGTGGTTTAATTTTTTTGATTAGTCTTGAGACTTAAAAAGCCGATCAACTTAGGCAACTTCACCCGTCCTTTTCTAACCAATCACTGCTCACAGCTTCACGACAAAAGTCGTTTTAACCACACTTAAAGAAATGCGCTTTGTAGGTGCCGATCACATGTTAGGACCTATTAGCAGTTTCCTTTTGTATAATTGATTGTACATTTATTAGCCTATCTTGCTGGTTCCCTAGATTTGTCTTGTGAATGGACGCCCAACTGATTTGGAGGCAAATGTGATACGAAGTAGACACAGAAATTCCGGTGGGTTGATCAGTCAACTAATTGCTCATGCTGTGAAGAAATTTTATACTTTAGTTGTGTTTTATCTTAACATAAATATAAACAGATGCAAGACGATGGGATTGATGGTGCGGAACAGTTAAGATCTTATAAAATTGCTGGTTACATAAAACATCCGGTTGAAGACGTTACTCAACCCTTGAATAGAAAAATTCTTATCCTAGTGTGAACAAAGGACGCGTATTTAGATTGAAACATCTGATAGACTGCAATAACGATTAGTGATACACAGTGTCACTAGCGGTCAATCGCATTTTACATCGAAAGTTTGCTACCTCGATTTCGACCAAATATTTTAGGGACAGTAAACTTAGGCGCCCAAGAATTATACGCTCACGGAGTGTCAAAGCTTCAGCTCAGCTGTTTGTTTCCTCCTGTTGTATCAGTACATGCAAAAGTCAGCTTCGTCCCCAACGAAAACTCATAACTGTTTAGGTTATTTTAGGAACATCTCATGTTGCTAGAAGAATAGACTTAACACAGACAACTTATTCACCTGCTTCTTTGTATTCAAGTATTCAGAACACGATTCAGTGATATGGCCAATCGATCAAGTCTGCCAGCACAAAAAGATATTTCTTGTCATTTTATGAAAGCCGATTAATTAAGACAGGGAGATAGGACCTGTACATTGTGTTGCTCCATGAATATAATATTAAGTATGCACGAGGAACAGCGTCATTTATTACCCCGTACTGTGAACGCACTTCGGTTGGGTGATGTCCTATTCAGGTGCGATCCGCTTCGGAAATCTGTTCTCCACAAATTGGGTGTCTAGGAATTTTCGGATTCCGGCACTGGTTTTGCATTGACTATTATCTCGGGCTAACTGTTCCAACATGCTATTACTTGATACTACAAGCATAAATTGAGCTATACGCTCCAGGCGCAATACTACAAGCTTGCACCATCGTCCGTAAATACTGCTAGCTGCACGCAATCGATGATGCGGCCTCAGCATAGGGTAATAGGCTTCAGAGTAATATCCGGTGCGTCATTGCAAACCGCCGATACGATAGGGTGTATAGCCTCAATCTCCTATCTTGGTTTTAGTACGTGATCACATAAGCTGGAAAACAGTTATTCTACCTTTACACCACGCAGTGTGATCAAAAAAGAGGAGAACCAGCCGTACTATAACATTGGTCCTATGGTCAAATAGAAAATTGACAATTTTCTCGGGCTAATTGCAGAATCAGCGTATAAGCACCTAAGTCATGCTCAGTCCGTTTCCATTTAGCTTATTCTTGTCGTCCACCAACTTCAAATCGTAGCGCAGGAGGCGTTTTCTACTTATAGGCTTACTTTGACAGATTGCTCGCGAAGAAGATCAAGAATCTGTGCATCTCTCATTGGGTGATGTGACTGATTCCGTTATGTGCCGCAAGAAGTGATAGCACTTTGTAGGTCTTGCGCGACAACTGTCATGTGAGAAAGGTTTCGCAGCCTGGTCTAACGGTGGGTGAATTCCCAGCGGATACTTTAATATTTTAACCAAATTAATCAAATCGCTTCCATGGCGTTTTCCCTTACATACGTTACAGCGGTCAACTAACTAGTCACGATAGTGGTTATCAAGATATAGTTGGTTTCATTTGAGTTCTGGGTACTAAAATTTTCATAATTACGACTGCGAATCGTATTAAGTTGCAAGCTTTATGGATTTGCCTGGTGATAATTGTTGTGCGTTTAGGCTTGATGTAATACGAGATATGTCTAAGGACGTAGCGGATAATGAGACGAAAGTAAAATCGACAAAATTTGACTAAATGTCGGATAACTGAAGCCAAACATTTTATACTCAAAGTGATAATCTTCAAGTAATGCGCCTGAAATAGCTCTGATGAGTGGTTAGGCAAGTTAATTTTACACTTGCAAACCTCGAACGTTTGTGCACAGAAGCAGTAGAAAGAACTGCCAGCAAGCACAATTTACATCCATAAAGAAATCTATTTTAAAGTGGTAAACCGCTATTATCAGCCGTTAGAAATGAGGTCGTATTTGTTATTTTTCATTTCTCACCAAAAAATGTACTAGGATTAAACACGGTCTTCTTTGTTAAGAAGAATTATCCCTCAATTAAAAGCGATTTTCGTGGAATGACATGTACCATACCGGAAGTGGATATCTACTTGGAGTTGTGTGTTTATCTGAACAAGTATTCTATTATCCTTCTTACATTTCAGTGTCCATCCTGTGACATTATTCTGTTCCACCTATTCTTGGTATTTCCGTTTCGGATGGTCGGATTGCAATAAAGACCACCGTCCAGCCAACAGGGGAATGCCTTCAGCAGCAAATGTTTTCTCTTCGTTTACGACAGCACGAGTGATGCGAAAAAATGTTCCATTTTCCATCAACTTTTAATCCAAGTTCAGAACCGCTCTGCTGGTGTTTGTTTATTGTGTTGCACAAATGTCGGATTTTGCTACCAAGATGTAATAATCATTCAGATTTTTCCCTTTTATAAACACTTTTCTGCGCCGTGCCAATTTTAGTCCGTTGTGGATGAGATGTTTTTCAAGCAACATTTTGTTTACCGTTTATGATGTCGCTACGCGGTCCTGATTCACAGAATAAAGTAGTGTTGAATTAGCCGACGTCAGCAGACTTACGTTTTCTACTTTATAACAAACTACTAACCACATTAGCCGGTAAGGCACTTAACAAAAACAGCTCCGAATACTGTGACATTAAACACAAATTTTATTCTTGGCGTGCGTAGAGGAAGTTTATAGTAAGCCCTTTGTCACTGTGTCCTTTCAGTTACTCTTAGTCAACATTTAGGATTATTGGCAGCTAGTTAACGCACGTGACTGTCACGCAAAAAATGTTGTCAAGAAGCGCGTGATAGATGTTTGAAGAATTTCGACAGTTGTATGCTTTTCAAGTTCACTTGGAACATCCCAAAAGGCATCAGTGCCGAAAGCTTTAAAAATAACGCTAGGAATACCGCTAGATTCATCGAATGACAAGCGTACAAATATTAGGTTAGTGAGTTTAAGTAAAATATCCACATATCGATGGGACTAGGTGCGCGCCATAAGTAAAATTTAACAGCTTTCACTTTCTTTCGCAGATGATCCATCTAATGCATCTTAGTTAGCAGTAACTTTCTAATAATCCGTTTGGCAATGTAAGAACTTCTTTGGCTGTTGCCCTAAATAAAGCAATAGTAAAATTAATTTGCTGCTGGTTTTGGCCAAATCGTCATCGACAACAAACGTACATCAACCATTGTAGGTTGTGCTTCTCTGTCGTAAAATCAAAATGACCTAAGGAATAAAGAATAAGATACAGAAAAGGGGAACCTAGCGTAAAACTTAACTGACCTTAATAGGAATGCAGAGTAACGGCATGTGAAACTTCTCAACAAATGTCTGGCTAGTGTGCAAAAATAAGACGGCATTATAAAGCCAATTTCCCTGCGGTCTTCACTGTCCTGCAGGTAACTCAGAACACACCGGTGCCTCCAGCGAACCAAGTCCGCAGCGTCCAGAGCCAAGCATAAAGTGTTCGCGCGAACTCTAGTCTGGAATGTTAGAGGGATCAGTAACACTCATTTTGGTCGCCAGCGATTTTACTTTGTGCTGTGAAGTCATTATATGCCCACTTGGAGCAACAGATTCTCAGACATTTGGCAAAAAACACCTCTACTCATTCAACTCAAGTTACTCAACATTATGTTCTTTTCTAAAACCTAACGTGACGACGGTCGCTTAGTGCTCATTTGCACACAGTTTAATTGAGAAAACCCTGGTATTCGGTGACAAATTTAACGAGACTTAGTTTGGTTACATTGGATTTATTGTCATCCAGTAGGATGGCCCTGATCGTGATCTTGTACTCAGGACCTATTAGACCGTGGTAATCCCTTCTGATTCGACAAGCTCAAAGAAGTGGTGCTAACTTTTGCAATACTTTAGCGGTGACACGCTAATCAATCCTGACGCAACTGTCAAAATAGGTGAATCGATCCGCTACTTTGCTAGGAAACATAGTCTCAATGTGGCTGGTGGTATTACAATAGCAGTTAGAACAACGAAGGTGTAAAACGCATGCCGAATGAAGCGACCACTCCATAGAGTGTATACATAAGGCCACCACGCAAATCTCAAAAAAATAAGGCAATATCGTTTGTACAATCTGGCTCCACCGATTTTCATCCACGCACCGGTTTAAAGTCAAGAGAATGCAAAAGGAGGCTGCTTTTTATAATTCGAGATGAATTAGAACAACGAAAGGAAAATAGAACAAGTTTGGCGGACGCTGATTTTGTCGGAAATCTACCACAGTACCCACCCTAGAAACAGAGATGCAGTGGATTTTGGTTTCTAACGTATTTCCTTATTTATGGAGTTTTGTCTGAAGATGAGTAAATTGCTGCAGAAGATGCACTGTCGTACATGTCGGCCGAAACGCTATTCTACTTAGCGCGAAATATTTTTAGAATGCTTATGTGAAAAGCCGTTATGTGAGCGTCGGGGTACTTTTTATTGGTTAAGGTGTACGGTGTTTGCAATTACCATTTTAGGGACATGCTTGATAATTTTAATGCGAAGTCAATGAATGTAGGCTGCGCAACAGGTCATGATCAGAGTCGGTTCATGCATTTCAGAAGGAGCGGCAGTCCGGGACGGAACAGAGCCATCTGAGAATTATGACAATGGGGTCTTCCTGAGTTCATGGCTGCCCAGAAGTTGGAGGATGCCAAATGGCAGATTGGCGCCCACTGTGCATGAAAGTCATGCTGTTGTTTATCTTCGGCGTACCAACGCAACAACCGCTGTCTGTGCGTTCAAGTTTGAGTCTAAAGTAACCACCTAGCTAACTTGATCAATTGACTTCCTTGAGCACCGCTATCCATAAAAACTGGAACGATATATCAACTGATGAAGCTGAGAAGCATCATGCTGAGTCAGTTGTAGAAGACGTCCTTGGTATCTTCAGTCCCTGCAAACTATGGAGGTATAAACGGCAATAAAAATTAGACATTGTGCAGCGCTACTTCATGCAACAACGTTGTTTGCTTTTGTAGGATGGGCCATATACAGACAGCTGCATGCAAGATTCCAGTCAATCAACTTTCCCTCCGCCTTGTACCTGAGAGCGATGTCTATTCCAACTCGACCTGTGGTAGCTGCATCAGTGAATCAGGATGTGTGTAACCGATAGCGAGATAACAGTTTGGACCATTTTATTTCCCTATCATGCGAAGGTGATGAATCCTAGTTTCAGACAAGCTGCACACGTCGATACCTGGTGTTTCCACAGTTTGTTTGGAAGGCGATAGAGCATTAAGTCGAGGTGGTCCCATAACACTGTTCAACAAGAATATTTGTTTCCAATAGCAGAAATGTAAATGTCTGTACCTTATAGAATGCACTCCACCGATTGTAGCAAAGCATTCCGATGTTACCTGGCACGTCTGGTTACAATGTTTTAACCAAATGATTAGTGTCAGTAATGTTTAGTCTAGATCCTATGAATTATATGTAAATGTACTAAACCACAGCATATACAATATGCATGTATGTGATAAATGCGTTTAAAACATCACTGCTACACAAGCGTCTAACAACTGACTGCAGCTTGGCACTGTGAAATGATGACTTCGCCGGGATCGTCGCTTGTATGATCCGGTTCCCTCAAGTTTCAGCTACCAGGGAATGTCACTGATTATAGAAAACGTGTAATTTCCCCTGTAACACCGTTCCATGACTGAAATGTCTTAGAGAAAGCGCTTATCATCTTCATCGATAACAGATCCCAGGTTCTCAGAGAAAAAGTAAACGTAATTAAGTAGAAAGTAAATCTTGAGTGACATCCGAGGACCAACAGCCGGATAGTCCGCAATGGGTTTTTTTATAATTTGTAGCTCACTGTCTTTGTTCTGCTCCAAAATCCTTTACAAACGGCCTTAAATGATTGGCACGCTTCTAACTCAAATGAAGTCAAATGGCACTCGAAAGCACTGCCTGCCATTACCCGGCGAATATCAGGCCCAGTAAGCTTCCGTTCTTTGAACTTCGCATCACTGATCTTCGGAAACATTTGTTTCAGGTACTGAAACGCAAAACAATCTCACTTGAGGGCTTTGATAACGTTTTAATCAAACCAAGCTTGATATGCATGGGTGGTAAATAGATATGACCAGGTTGCATAAAAGTTGTTTGCTTTACACATTTCCCTGCAGCATACTCCATCCTCTCTGACCAATTTTCGGTTAGATAGTGCCGTTGAGTTGCTCTATTGTCCCATAAGCACAAGAAACAGCAATATATTGTGAAGCCTCCTGACATATCCATTAGGAGTCCAATGATTTTGAAGTCAGCACAGATGTTCCAATAGCACTTATCGTAGCTCAGTACAACGAGTATCTGTTGTATACCACGTAAGACTCCTTCATATTAGCGGTATACAACAGAGACACAGTTGCGTACACATTTCCTATGTGGAACAGTATGGCCTTAAGTCTACTCTTGGACGAGTCGATGAACAAAGTCCATTCACCACTAATTTGCCTCACGCCCAGCTTCTTCATCAGTCGCTCCACGTCGGAACAGTGACGAAATGTTTCTTTCCTGTCATAGAAACCGGACAATTTTGCACCGCTTTAGGCATATAGTAACCTTAGTGTTTGCAGCAAGTATGTGCCACTGCTGCAGCCGAAATGCTAGTTACTCGACCGTGATTTTAGACAAGCCTTTGTCACGTGCCAATTCATGCAGCTCTGAGTATTCAATACGATGTTGGCTGACATAATCCGCTTCAATGTTTTCACAGATATCAGAATCTGGTGAATTTTATGATGCGGAATCACTACACATCATCAGTGACATGCTCACTGGAAGCACCGTAATGGGTAGAATGCAATCATGGGGAACAGGTCGATTAGCTGATGGAAGATCAGGGTAATTAATCTTGTTCTTGTCTCGTTTGGAGATTCCAATGACACTGGTTACGCAGAAGTAGCAGTCTGTCGTGTGGTCCTTCGGCTCCATCCACATCATGGGGATTGCGAAGGGCATCTTGCCTTTGCCATTGAGCCACTGAATCAGATGAAGATTGCACGACACACAAACAATATGCAGCGCCCACTTCTTATCCTGATCTCCTAGTTTCATCCTGAAATATGCATGGTAAGCAGAATTCAGTAATTTGGAAATGGGTCTGCACTGCGACTTCGTAGTAAACTGTTCACAGACGTAAGAAAAATGATTTCGGTCATTGACACAGCATTGTCTTTCAGTTATGATCAAAGTCTCAATTAAAGAAACTCAGCTGTCAATCGACTTTCATTAACAGGTGGATGCCATGGGCAGGAGGACTTCTATTCCACGATTACAGAGAGCCAATAGACAACTCACAAACGAGCATTCGATGCGTGGAACGCGTTGGTTTGCTGTAATGAAACACTGAAATTGAACCAAAACCATGCGTGGTATAAGTATTTGGTTTCTAAAATTATAAACAGCTCACTTTGTACTACTAAAAACACCTATCACTTTTCTTATAAATGTGTTATTGAACAACTTAATTGGGTGATTACAACCTGAGCCCAATTGTACCGCTAGGATGTAGC